GTTAGAGGAAAAGCTTACTTACCTATAACTGTAGTTTTGATAGTTTTGCTCCTGCAGATTCACACTCTTGTGATGTGTGTCTCTGCTGCTATGGGCTAGGAATGAACTTAAAACAGAAGGGCCCGTAGCAGGCATCCAAATGCCCCCTAACTGATTCACTTAGTGGAAATAAAATTATTACAGCTTTATTTCTTCCTAATTTAAAGCATCTAAATTAAGATCCCAAAGAAGTGGGTAAAATGAATCCTCAGATGTAAATCATACACAGAAAAGAACCATAGATATGAGTACGTCTTATTTTAAAGAATGTTTCTAATACTCTCAACTCCTTTCAAAAACCACCATGCACTAGCCTCTCCAGTAAAACAGTTAGCAATTAATATTTTACTTAGTCTCTTATGAATGTTGCATTATAGAAACACTTCTTGGAACTGGCCTAAAAATCTAACAGTGAACAGAAAATACCATGTATGGAATAGCTTAAATTAAAAGTAAACAAATCTGAAATTTAAAAAATCTAGTGCAATTGAAGAAAGAGTCTACGAAAAAAGATGGGCTCCTCTCTGCATATTTTTCCAAGTAATTTTCAAGACTATTTTCCCTTTTTGAAAGATTCAGGGCTCCTTTTAGCACTACTATCTTACAAATTCTACATAATGTTGGTTTGCAGTATGCGATTTAAAAAAAAAAAAAAAAAAAAAAAAAAAGCAGAAAGCTTTGGAGGTAGAAACTTTGAACATGAAAATTAATTCAGGAATAGGTCTAAATCTTGAAGAACATGAAGAGCATAATGTAATGTTCTGGGAAAAGTTTAGATTACCAGCTTTGAATCTGCTTGAATATACACAAAAATAATCCGTTTATATCTGAACAGCTCCAAAAGACAAGTTCATACCGAGGTTACCAAAACAAAATCTCTCATTGAATGCCACCCTTCTTGTCTGCAAAGAAATATTACCAAGAAGCACAAAAATTATTGGGAAAGAAGTTTCTAAAAATCTGTTGGATTTCCTGTACTCTCTTAGTGTTGTCAATTTCAGAATCCGAATTATTTATAACTGTAGATGTGTGAACAACATGGATTCAAGAACAGGGATCTCCACTCTTTTTAAGAAGCATTCAAAAGCAAAAAGTACTGCAGGAAATGTGGCCACTAACGGTGATTACAAGAGAAGGATATCTTGTTGTACCTAAGCAGAGGATGGTTAACTTCTTGTTTACTGTTGTGAAAAAAGATAATACTCTTATAAGATTATTAGCGCTTCAGAATCACCCAAACTATGGCTAGTTAGATAATCCAAGTCTTGATAAACAGCACCTGGATCAACCATGATACTATATACCTTTTCAAAACAGAAGATATGACCTAGATTTACTGACAACTTGTATCTGATGGGGATATAGAGGCCATTATGAGAAGGGCAAAGGGAACTAAAGACCTGAGCAGTTATTACTTTGTTCTAAAGCAGCTAGGCATAACAAGCATATTAGAATGAAACTTCTGGTGTTTCCCTGATATTCAAAATTTCCAATTAGTCCTTTCATTAACTATACATACAACTTGCTTGCAAAATTAGTCCGTACCAAGAGAATTCTTTGGAAGTAGAAGGAAGATGTGTAATCTTGTCCTTCCACACAGAGGAAAAGGACAAAATGAATCTTCCAAACTTTGTACCCTTTTACTGTGATAAAACCAATTAAACCACTCAAATTCAAGAAATCAAATACACTGAAAGGATAGAACTGTAAAAACAAGAGTACTGAAAAGCACTCATATATGGAGACAAGAGTTCTATCTTGTATTACCTGTCCTTATGCGTACCTGATAGACATTAAGAAAAATCAGCCAGATTTTGCATAAGTGATTTCTGCTCTTTTTCAGAAAGCAAAAGCATGAGAATCAGGCTCCAGAAAAAAAGTATGTTGATTTTTATAAAAGAAGGCACCTCCGCAAAACGTAGTGTTCCCTCTATGGCCTCCCATTTTGAGAGACTTCGGCTAAAAATTTCTGATGTTTTTATTTAGATACGGGGGGGAATGAGTAAGGGGTTATACTGCAGAAGGTACTATAATTTCCAAAGAGCCCTAAATCCCTATTTTCCAAATATTAGAAGTCCTCTTTTAGTGCTAAGGTCCTTCTGTAACATTGCCTTAATCAAGAGTAGAGGTTGTGTAATTTTTAACAAGAACTCCCAGAAAACCATCTCTGCTTCTTGCCTAGAATAGTTCCACCACACTGCCAGTTCCAAACCTCAGAAAAAAAAAAATGGCATTCCATCTAAAACCTTATTGTTTTAAAAAGAAGCATCTGAATATCTTTGATGAAGCACTGCACTATAGAGATTTCATGTCTAAACAATGGACAGAAGAGATCACTGATTTGCTACCAGAACTTGAGAGAGTACAATTCTACTCAAAGTACTTACGAAAGGCAACAAAGACTGCATACACAGAAAGTGTAACATGACTGTAGTATGTATTCCCATGTGTCAATCACAAAAGCATCAAAGACACCTCCATGCAGATTTCTGCATGTGCTAATATCTACAATAAAAGCACTAGAGGGATGCTTGCTTGCTATGTACAGTATCACTTATGCTATGCCATCCTGCTGTACTTAGTCCAAATACATGCTACACTCGCTTGTTTTCTGGACATAATATGATCTGAATTAGTAATAAATGCTCTAAAGTGCACAAATGTGAGGTTTTTTGCATCAACACAGTAAGCAGCTTCTCAAAACTTCACAACAAATTTAGGAGGTACAGGACATATTTTGAACAGACAAATTTTGATAGAAGCCATAGAATAACTTTCTTGATCTCACACCAAACCAAACAAATAAAGTATTGAACAATCCCTGAGTATACCAACTTGTAGGGGATAGGACCAACTTAGCAACAACAAAAATGCAAAAACGTTACAAAAAAAAAAGAACTGTATTTCTCTAAGGTAAGAGGCTTTCAAGTAACCTGCCATGAAACTGGTAAAAATCTTTGTACTCTGTACTTACTTTAATCGTGACTAAAACTCTGGCAGTCAGGGAGAAAAAAGTTTCTATCTGGACTGAAGCACCTTAAGACCAGTGAATAAATGGTGATTATTTATCCCAAAATAAGGCAGTAACTCCTCTACCTGATCCATAACAATTGCAGGAATTCTGGAAGAACTGAGATCTAGCAGAGGATGCAGGTACAAGTGAACCATAAGGTTGGAACACTTATTTCGTGAGATAGTTATCAAGCACTGGCGAAGGAGAGAGACTGCATCATACAAAAAACACTCATTTCCCCAAAGAGAAACAAATCAGTCTACCTGTGGCTATGTAATAATGGTATACAAACTTCACAAGTTAAGTATATAATTTCTTGAAAGCCAGAAAAAAGAAGGAGATTTAGTCTTGTTTGATTGTTTTGAAGGCTACAGTACACCATAAAAAATACACTGCATTTTTCCAGATGTTTCTTGTCTAAAGCATGTTCAATCTACCTACCACTACAAAAGTAAAAGTAACTTTAGTGGAAAAAATGTTAGGAGACAGACCCTAAGCTCTCCATGAATAAATTTAAAATTACTTATCACAAGATGATATAAACAGAGCACAAAAATGATCAATTTCAATGAAACAAAATTAAATGCAGTAAAGATCTCTTGAAGTGAGCAAAGATTTTCTACATAGATTGACAAACATTTTCTAACAAGACTTGAATTAGTTACCAAATGACGAATATCTGAAGTTAAAAATTTTAATAACCTCAGCAATTATATTTATATATACACTCTCTCTCTTTACTGATACCTATAAAATAGAATAACAAACAAAAGCAAAAACAAAAAAAACACCCTGGGAGGGGAGAAAACATGCTATCTCCGCTGGCTAAAACCCAAACTCTATATAAAAATAGTTGCATCCTTGCAAGTATGTCCAAAATCAGCCATTTCCAACTACAAGCTTCTCAAATTAGAATTTGCTCAATTTACACATCTGCAAAATTGTTCCTGAAATTATCTAGTAAATTTGCATTATATTATTATACCTGATTTTTTTTTTTCTTGGAAGTTAAACATAGTGTAGAGGAAGCTTTTGAGAAATACTCACATTAACATATAGCTATCTCATTTATAAAATAAATCTTAATTTGAAGATTTACATATGTATCTTGAATCCACTTTGAGATTTTTGAAGCCTAAAGACCATCAAACCACCACACAGAAGCAAAAAAATAAAATAGATTCAAATGAAGTCAGTTACGTCAAAAAGTATAGCCACTGAAATGAAAACATTTCAAAGGCTCATCTGAGAGATCAGAGTATCAGAGAGATCATGCAGATATGGCATTCCTCTAAAAATTATAATACCTGCATAATAATGAATAATAACAACAAAAATCCAGGTGAACACTGGATACAACATGGTATGTTTTAATCAATCATTACAGTGGCTTGAAAAGAGTAGATGTGATTATAATCTAACATGTCCTTCAGATTAGGTTTAAATGGGAATATCAATAGATGCGAGTAAAGTTTTTTCTGTATTTTCTCATAGTAGGTGGCATCGGCATGAATAATTCAGCTATCATAACTTACTGCTAATTTTGACTTATGGTACTGCTGGGATTTTAGAAACCTTATAAACGATGTTAATCGTACTTCATTCAGTCCCATGGTTCAAGTAAGAATAGGTTAGAAAGAATTTTGAAACATAAGAACTTCACTTTCCACACAGTAAGACCCCAAATAAAGAAAATCGGCTACTAAAAATATGCATATACGAGAGATTACAGTTCATTGCTGGAGGGGAATGGAGATGAATGTTGTATAAGAACCTACACTGAGTAAACAGAATTGAACTATGTGACAATGAAAGGAAGTTGGTTTTTTTTTTTTTTTTTTTTTTTTTTAATATATATATATATATGAGTTTTGCAAGCATATATATATATATCTATTTATATATACTGGTATAATATATAGTGTATACACACACACAATCCTTTTACCTTTATCTTGCACTTCTTTTGAAAATCGCTCCCTTTCAATAGCTGATTCACGTTCTATCCGCTCAATTTCAGCCAATGCATCCAATTCTACTTCATCATATGACGTTATAGTTCCTTGTTGCGAAACCTGTTGCTGTGTCTGTACCACAGGAGTTTGAGGTTGTTTTGCAGCAACTGAAGTGTTCTGTTGTAAAACAGGCACTTGTTGTGCCTGAAGGAAAGCTGTCTGTTCATGCTGCGGCAAACACTGAGCAGCGTTTAGTGGGCGGTTAACATCCTGTGGAGTAACGGGTGTTTTAGAAGTCTGTCCTGGGTACTGCACATTAAAAGGAATATCACCCTCTGATACACTGCTGTTTTCCAAACCAGAAAGCATATCATCCTGCTGGTCCAAATCCGAAGATCTTACACGAGAGAGTCTTAATGTAAGCTTAGTGGAGTCCTTGGAAGGAGAACTAATGATATCATACATTGCAGCTTTTTCAGTCTGGTCTTTTTCATCCTTGCCTAACTTCATTTTCTTTTGTTTCTTTTGCTTTCTTTCTGGAGAATCTAACAATATGTCTGGGGGAACATCTCTAGGTGATGAATAAGGTGGAGGCTGAGATTGTAGGATTAAAGGTGGTCTTGATCCTAGAATAATAATTCAGAAAAACTGAACAGTTATGTTGTTTCATGTTTATATAAAAACACACTAAATATAACCTACATATTTTTAATGTGTATTTGTAAATATATCTGTGTTCACAAAAGATCTAAATGAGATTGGTAGGAAGCACATTATTCCTAGATCAAGATGTAATCCAGATAGTAGCACTCTACTTCCTAGGAATTTTTGGCAACTGCAGGTGGAGAAGGGATCATTTCAGAGAAAATGAAACAAAAAACCCACAACCAGACACACACAAAAAAGTACCTGCAGATTTAGAATATCATCTATTAAAAATAGTGGATGTAAGCAAATTGACTGCAGAAAAAGAAAAGATAAAAAAGAATCTTCATAGGGTCCAATGATGAAGGATCAGTGGATAGATACTAGTCATTTCAGACATATATTTTTGAACAATTATTTTAAAAAAGAAAGACAAAAAAAAGAAAAAAAGAAAAGAACAAAACAAATGTAGTTTAGGGGTGTTCCCCTGCCTTACAGTTCCATAGAAAGGTGAAAATACAAACCATATTAAAAGATCAATGTGCCTCTCCTTCTTGCTTGACTCTGACACTTTTTTTTTTTTTTGTAAGCTCACTCTACCCCCTTCCCATTTCCCCATTAATACCTACAAAATACTAATTGTCTTAAGGCATTATTTTACCATTCTCTGCAATACCTCACCTCTTTTCTTTTATTTTTTCTCATTTTTTTAAATGTACAAATTTTTACTTCTACATATGGTAATTCCAGACTTTGAGCATATCTACAAAAAATTTAAAAAGTGGACATTTTTCATTAAAAACATTCTTCAATTCAGCACATTTAATTTTTTCTTTCCTCAAATTAAAACAGCTCCCCATAACTATTAGCCCAGAAAAAACTTTGAAAGGCAAGTAACTGACACTTAAAAAAAAAAGAAAATTAAAAAGAAAAAAAAAAAGAAAGAAAGAAAGAAAGAAAGAAAGAAAAAGGAAAAGAAACCAAGAGAAAAAAAAGAAAGAAAAACAAAAAGAGGATGGACCAACAGGCTCCAGCCTGCTTTTGTTTAAACAAAGGAAACATTTCTCTGATCCCATTCACCCACTAGGAAATACTGATCTTCAGAAAGAGGTGACTGAGGTATTGTTAGCCATTCTGTTTTAGATCATCGTAAGTCAGTACTTCTAAAAACATTCAAAAATTTATTGGAAGACAGGACCCCCATATGCTTCATTCAATAAACAGTACTAAATAAGTGAGCAGATTTATTCTGCAGCTTAAATGTATAGTAGATATTTTAAGAAATATTAATTATTAAACAATGTACTGGTCTGTAAATGAAAGAAATAATGGTAAATCCTGCAAAGCTTCAGTTCAAATGAAAGTTGTTTCCTTACTGACAACTTTGCAGACTGCTATACATTAGTTCCTCTCTCTAACAGTATATTCTGTGAGATGCGTATGTAATGCTGGGTATCTTACACAGTTCTCCTTGACCATGAGAAACAAACTCTATTTTCTGCCAATATCTACAATGTTGGAAAGTCCTGTTTTGATTTATCCTGATTCTCAACACTTTTCTGCTGCTTCATTTTACCTCCTCAAATTAGATGCAAAATACCAAAGTCCTGGCTGCATCCTACAAAGCTCTCTCACTTGCCTTCCACCAGATTTCTGTTCTTGATATGCATGTAGATGTGCGCACACACACATATCCTAATTACCATCTCTTTAGACAATAACTTACAAGACTGTCTCAGCATAGCAGAAATTGTTAGCGATTTACTTCCTTTAAGGTAATGAATATCACTAGGTGGAAACAGAGGCTGCATTTTGTCTACAAATATTAGAGGCAGCTCAAAACTTTTCAAAGAGGATTTACTGACATCTTTACTCTTGAATAACTTAAATGAATATCTCTGAAACTGAAATATTGAAATGCTTATTGTTCTATTGTTCTCTATTGTTCAAAGATGGACAAAGATATGATTCTTCCCTGCCTAAACTTTTAAATAAATACGACAAGATCATTCTGATTTGGTATTACTTTTTTCATGCTGAAAAATAACACTGCAGCACCAGATGAGTGCAGATGAGGTTGTTTTGGTTTTTTTGTTTTTTTGTTTTGTTTTGTTTTTTTGTCTTAATCTTGTTTAATCTTTGAGTTGACTTGGAGTTGGAGGTCAGAAGGATTTCAGTACATTACATTCAGCATTCTTAGAAAAGGAAGAAATAAAGTACAGTCTTCCCTCTGCTAGGCAGCACTACGAATAGCTATCTTCCCCCTGAAGGTATTGAAGGTAAAGTCTATAAGCTGCATTTTAAATGTGTATGTTCTAAGATATTCAAAGACATCTAAAAATGATGTTAAGGCTTTGGCAATAAATGGATGTAGGCAGTACAATACCTAGATTTTGAACCAATTAGGGGAAAAAACGTGTATTCTGGATGAGTTTAATTGTACCACAGATGTTAATAGTTTTGAATACGTATCACACAGTGAACACATACCACACTGTTGGATGCTTAGACTTTAGACAAAACATCATTCATTAGACAGAAAAATTTTGTCTACTGCTACTGAAGTAAGCCTGGAATATTTCCTATCGGCACAGACTTAAGCATTATACATCTGAGAACAAAGCTCTCATGAGACTTTTTGACAATAAAAAAAATGTTTTTATGGAAAGAATAGACAGACAGATATGATATGTTAGCTGAAACAGTCAAGATTGCAAAGCTGAGAAGGTAAATGACGTCAGTATAGTGAAACATATGATGATCATTGGAAGTGACCTCTGTGAATGACTCCACTGCCATAATATTCTTTTAGAATAAGGAAATATGTAAGTAGCTTTCCAGTCTAAATGTAGAGCTGTGTACTAATTCGTGAGGGAAAAAAAACAACTGACTTTCTGTTGTTGAACTTCCACGGTAACAGTAAAAGAACCTTGATCAAATTTCATGTATGACAAGAACATACAAAGGTTGTGAGATAAAAAGACACTTTCCTCTGAAGGTCATTCTATCATTACTGACCGATGATGATCCAGATAATGCCAAATATAAATGACAAGTAGGTAACACCATGTGAATTAAAGACTCTACGAAGAACAAATAGACCCATAAACAATACATCCATAGCTTCTCTTTTATAAAGTCATCCTGACCACTCATGATAACCTAAGGATTGGTTATATTAGTTTTCTTAGTGATAGAAGGCACTGAGTATAGAATAAGTTTTTACAAACTGTGTTAGCACTTTTAACACCTTTTTTTTCCTTTCCTTTCAAATGATTTTTTTCATATCCTTTGTAATGCAAGCAACTACAAAATGCATTACATTAACACTGACTTAGTCACCTTAAGAATTTTAAGTTTCAAAAATACTTTCCCTCCCTCTACTCCCCCTTGTGAAATGGTTTCACTTGCTCACTGTACAACTATAATTTGGGTAGCAAAGAAATAAGCTTCTGTTCAGGAGGTTACACACATCACTAATATCTAAATCTTACAGTTTTTGGACTGCATACTTTCTAATTATGTCATAGTACTTGCAGCTTACCTAACCTTTCATGATACTCTCTCTGATCATCATGGAGCCTTTGTAGAACTAGCTGCCTGTCAAAGTTGGTGCACCAAGTCCAATCACTAATCACATCGTTGGTTGTAACCCATGTGATTAAAAAACAATTCTGAAGGTGATCAGGAACATAGAACCCATATTTGGAAGAATTACTAGCTTTTCAGTCACATAACAACAACTACAAAAGATTCACTCCAAACAGTATCTTCATCTTCCTTTAAATCACTTTCAGGTAAAGGTTCCCAGATGTTCAAAGAAAATCAATCAAAACCAATCCTACATGCTCATTTGCTGTTATGCATCAAGACCAGAAAAAAAAAAAAAAAAACTAGTGAACAAACAAAGACTAATGTATAATCCTTGCTACATAGTTTGCTTCTGGAGAGAAACACAAGTTTTCAAAATGCTATGCCTTTTAAAATTCATTATAATGTGATTCTCCAGACATTACCATAGAACATTACCATAAGGAAGCGTGCTGCCTCCCTGTAATATTTCTAGGAAACTTGCTAGTCTGATTCACTCCTCTGATTATTATCCTTTACTGTCAATTCAGGCCAGCGCTGAGAGAACCTGAGGATTACCAAAAAGGACTTCTGGGGACTGGGACAGTTAGTGACAAAGAGGGAGCAGATGTAGAGGTGGTACTTTCCTCTATCCCTACAGTGGCAGGAAGGGATATTTGAGAGGACCAGGAAAACTCATCTCATAAATGCATGGCTGAGAGGCTAGTGCAATAGCAAGAACTTAGGTTTTTTTGACCATGGGATGGTTTAGTCAGTGCCTGGCCTGATGGCTGCTGATGTCTCAAAGGAGGAAATGCATCCTAGCCCAGGACCTGGCAGAGTTTGTTGAGATGGCTTTAAACAAGATAAAGGGTGCAGGGGATAAAACCAGACCCACTAGAGATAAGCCTAGACAAACAATGATGGGTTTGGGGATGAGATAAGGAATTCAGATGAAGTGCAACTATGCCATTGCACACAGCACGGGCAACAAACAGAAAGAGTTGGAAGCCATCATGTAACAGGCATACTGTAGCTTAGCTGTCATTACTGAAACATGGTGTAATCCTCCCACAGCTAGAGTAAAGTAATGGATGGATATAAGCTCTTCAGAAGGGATAGGCAAGGAAGGAACAGTGGTGGTGTGGCTCTCCACATTAGAGAGTTTTGATGTTAAGCTCAGGGCTGGGAATGATAAGGTTGAGTCTCTAAGGGTAAGGATCAACGGAAGGGCTGACAGGGCACACGTCCAGGTGGAAGTCTGTTACAGACTGCCTAACCAGGATGAAGAGATAGATGAGGCATTCTACAAAGAGCTAGCAGAAGCTGTTATCTCATAGGCGATTTAAACACCCCTGATTTACGTTGGAAATATAATACAGTGCAGAGGCAGCAGTCTAGGAGATTTCTA